TTATAGTCTGGAGAGGAGCCTAATGACCACCAGCTGAGTACAATTACCTCCTGTAACTGCACAAGTGTTCCTGACGCCTATTAGCTCTTCGGTGCCAGGCATCCAGAAACAACTCACTGCTGGCGTCCGGCTCATTCTCCCTTGTCTCCTTCCCACTGGCCTAAGACTCAGGTGCCTCCTGGTGGCCAACCAGCCTCTTTGCACCCTGCTCGGAGTCGGAACCCTGTCCAGGGTCCTCCACATCCTCCAGAGCCGGCTCATAGGGCCCCTCGCTGTCGGAGTCTGGTGACAGCTCCAACGGCTCCTGCTGGGCCACAACAACTTCAATGTTAAGACTTACGTTTACAGAACTTACATTGAAGTTACATTTCTATTTATTAGTAGGAACTTGAGTTTTGCCTTCATCTTCACCTCTATTTCCAAGAAAAATGCCTTACCATCTCCACTTTGCCTCATGACAATATATTTTTGTAGCTAGGCCGTTTTTTTCTTGAAAAAACAAATAAGGGTGGAACATTGTATTAGTGAGTTTGAAGTTTTATAAAAGAAGAGAGAAATTATCTAAGGAAAGGTGATCTACTGCATTTCATTTTTCCTGAAATTCTTAAATATTCTTCAAAAGAGCTAAAAAAATATCTAAATGCAGGGCCCAAGATTCAGCCCCTATTAATGTAAAGTAATAATAGTTTAATATGCTTTAAAGGATTATGTGCAACCTATGGGACTTGGGGTAATGATCCTCTGTACATGAATGGAACATTTAAGCCAGTTTGATTCAAATTTATATTTTTCTAGAATGATTTCGAATGAATATATAATGGAGAAAATGACGGTAAGAGAACAAATGATGAACTTTGAAATAAAAAATATTAAGCAGAAATTAAGGATAATCAAAATAAGAAAAACATTTTAAAAATGTAAAAGAAATGGAGTCAAGCACCATGAGACAGAGAAATATAGATGCCTCCCAAAAGCTAGAATTATAACAAATTTATGACTTAGCTAGCATTAGAAAGCATCATACTGGTATGCATTACTAAAATTCCCTGGCCACCTCTGTAAATTATTGCTACACATGAGTCATAAATTCTTATCTAGTTCTTAACTTCGATTTAGAAGATATACCGTATTTTCTGGAGTATGACACATCTTTTTCCTTAAAAAAGAGGCTGAAAATCTGGGTGCATCTTATAATACAGCATTTTTTGCCTCCCAAAGCTGTGTCCTTTCATCAAAATGGCCGTGTATACACTTATGGAGGCTTTCAGAGAGCTCCTGGAGGCTAGAAAGGGCAGAAATGAGCAAACAATGGGCTGTTTTTTGCCCCCCCCCAGCCCCCAGCAGCACTCTATAAGGCTCCGTAAGGCTATGTGTTCTGACTCCCCTCCTTGCTTGTTCCCAAACGACAGCCAGACAGAACTTCGAAGGAAATATCTTTATCAGTCCCGGCTCAAGCTGGCTGCGAGCCCAAAATAAACNAAGGCTGAGTCAACCCTGAGCCGGTGAGATTTGAACCGCTGAACTGCTGATCTAGCAGTAGCCTGCAGTGCTGCATTTAACCACTGCGCCACCTCACCTGACGCAGAGAAGAAGGTCCATTACATACAAAGCAATACATTGGATTGAGGAGAAAGAGCTATATCCTTATATGCCATGAACAAAGGCATGGAGGATCCTGAAATTAGCAGTTTCCTGGACAAAGACCAGGGAGAATAAAAGAGAAGACAGTACTGTAAACCCCCAACTTCCAATTTGAAGAGCCTCGGTGGCACAGTGGTTAGAGTGCAGGACTGCAGGCTACTTCTGCTGACTGCTGTCTGCCTGCAATTTGGCAGTTCAAATTCCACCAGGCTCAAGGCTGACTCAGCCTTCCATCCTTCTGAGATGGGTAAAATGAGGGCCAAGATTGTTGGGGGAAAATAGGCTGACTCTGTAAAACTGCTTAGAGGGCTATAAAGCAGTATATATATTGTATTTTTTAGTGCATAAGATGCTCCGGAGTATAAGATGCACCTTAGTTTTTAGGGAAGAAAATGGGGGGAAAAATCTGCCTACCAGGTATTCATCTGGCTAGCGTCCTTCAGCACAGCTTCAGCAGATTAGTTTGCTGTTTGTGAGCGAGCAGTGTGCATCGCCTGCATGCACCTCATTGGGGCTAAAAAGCAGCTTTTAAGGCACAACTGATCATCATAGGGAGCTGCAATTAGTAAAGCAGGCAAAGCATGGAAGAGATAAAAGAAGGCAGCAGCTGTTCCGGGTTGCCATTTTGGGCTCCACATCTTGCATTTTCAGCCTCCATACACTCCAATTGCCGCCCGAAAAAGCAACATGAAGAGGCGGCGACTGGCAGTGATGTGCTCTGGCGATTCCAGCTGCCTTGAACGTGTCTCAAATGGAATATTTGGAGGCTGAAAACGCGAGGTGCAGAGCCCAAAAACGCAAGCCATTGTCTGTGGCAATCTCTGCAGCCAGGAAGAGGATGCGTGGAGGCTGAAGGGTGTTGGGCGGCGGGTGAGCAGGGCTACATTTGGAGTATAGGACACACCCATATTTTCAGCCTTTTTTAGGGGAGGGGGGAATGTGTGTTATACTCCAAAAAATACGGTAAGTCTAAGTGTTATTGCTATTGCTATTTATAATTCATTACCTGTTGTAGGCAATAGGTTGGGAGGCGTAGAACACTGAAGGTTTGAAAAATTGGTACTCATTTTTGGTACTCATAATCCCACGCCTAACACTTCATAAACAATTTGCCTATTCAGCTGGAAACCTACCGCCTTGTTTTACTGTGCTCTGCCAATGAAACAGGTTTCATATTAATCAACACTAGCAGATTTGTTGGTCTCCAAGTGCTGCCATTTGTGTATGTTCATTTAGTAAATGTTAACATTTTCTTTCCCTTTAGGGCCTGTGAATTTTACCTGTATATTTTGATATGTATTTGGTTATTGGTTAAAATCAAATGAAATACTACACACATTTGGAATTCTTCCTCAGAAATTCGGCTGGTTTTGTTTGCTTGATTATTCTTTGCCTCTGCAAAACCAAGAGTATTGTCTAAAGTGTTGTCCCTGAAGGATTTCCCCAAATTTTCAATTTCTTCATTCAGAGCAACCTGAGGAACAAAATTTAATCAGTTATTTAATCATAATGAGATTTCACTGTAATAATTTAAAATCTTGCAGACATGGATTTGTGTGTTTTCTTCCACTGGATTTATTACTGACCTACGAGTTTCACTTTAACTCTCTGTACAGCTAACAAATTTATGCCATAGCAATCTTCTACTACTTGATCCTGAAATTCCTATCTTTAGCGGGCTCTTCTCAATAACTGCTCCCGATCCCATAACTTATTTATTGTTCATAGGTAGAACTGTCCGTAGTTGTCACAAGTTCATATGCATTTGCACTCACATTGATCAGAATATGCATATTATACATATTATGCCTGTGAGTCCCTTGGACTGCAAGGCGATCAAACCGGTCAGTCCTAGAGGAGATCAACCCTGACTGCTCTTTAGAAGGGCAGATCCTGAAGATGAAACTCAAATATTTTGGCCACCTAATGAGAAGGAAGGACTTTTCCCCTTGAGGGGGAAAGAAGAATAGGACAACAGAGAATGAGGTGGCTGGATGCAGTCACTGAAGAAGACAACGTGAGCTTAAATGGATTCCAGAGGATGGTAGAGGACAGGAGGGCCTGGAGGAACGTTGTCTATGGGGTCGTGATAGGTTGGACATGACTTCGCAACTAACAACAACACATATTATTCCTAATATGAGCATCAAAAACTCCACAGTAAAATGCATTTTTGCATGTAATACTAATATATGCAGTTTCTCTTATTTCTACTTTTGTTGTCAGGGAGAAAAGTATAATAGAGATGAAGAGTAATTGAATATTGGTTTGCATATTGCTTCAGCAAAGTATTAATTAACTTAAAAATGAATTACACTCAGCTTTCTCCCTTTTCTTACTAAATGCGAAGAGCCCAAGATAGAGAAATCGTTATATGGCATGAGTCCTATCCCTAAAGCATTTCTTATTTCAGACCATAGAATATCAATATATGAAAGTTTAAACAGTGTATACAAACCAGATGTCAGGCTCAAAGCTAAGAATGTCATGAAGAGTTCTTCCAATCTGAGTCCCAGGAGTGGGATTCAGCCGGTTCAGATCAGTTCAGGTGAACCAGATGCTAGTTTTACACCTGGTTCACTGAATTGGTAGTTGCAAGGACTGGCTGGCCCTGCCCTGCCCACCCCACCCCGCCCCTCCCAGGAGTCTCCATGTGGTCCATTTTGGATGCCAGGTAAGTGCAGGGCCTGTGCAGAAGCTCTGGGAAGGTAAAAAATGACCCTCTCAGAAGTCCAGAAACAGGCCCGTTTCTGGCCTCTGGAGCCCAGGGAGAGAGCTATTTTCGCCCTCCCGGAGGCTCAAGAAAAGCCTCCAGAGCTTGGGGAGGGTGAAAATGCACCCCCACCGCAGTGCAGGAGGCCAAGTAGGCCACGCCCACCCAGCAAACAGGCAGAGAACCAGTTGCTAAAATATTTAAATCCTACCCCTGCTGAGTTCCTTATTGTTCCATACCTATAGAAAAAACCTTGCCAGACTGAGGACTCTACTTACCTGAATCTACAATATACTCTGTGAAGTATTCACCTTTTTTCTCCCACACATGATACCTGAGCCGAGTTGCCTCTCCCTCCCTCCCTCCTGGTGATCCACCTCCTCATTATATTCCATAACAGATCACCTTTCCCCCTTACTTTGTTCTCCTCTAGATCATTCCGCATTCTCTTCTGCTCTTCCTCGTCAAGGATCTGGTTACCATCTTTATCAAATTTTGCAAAGGCTGCTGTGATTTCATGTTCCGCATGACCCAGCCTGAATAAATTGAGGGTAAGGATGGGGAACAGAGAGAAGGGTGAACACGAAATCTGAAAATATAACACTTGATGCATAAATAGCAAGGTTGATACTGAAGCACACTGCTTGACTGGTATGATGGTACAATGCTATGATGGTAAACCTATGGCATGAGTGCCACAGGTGGCATGTGGAGTCCTCCCTGTGGGCATGCTAGCCATCACCCCCAGCTCAGCTCCACCTCACAGCACACGCCTCCTGGCAGCCAGCTGATTTTTGGGTCTCTGCCGTGCATGCGCAGGGGCGCATGCAGGGTGTTGCATGTGCCTGCACTTGAGCACAGAGGGGATGCACTCCCCCCTGTTCCCCGTTTTTGGTCCCAGGAGACTTCAGAGAAACCTGGGAGGCACAAAACAGGATGGGCGGCAGCGCCCCTCCCCCCATGGCCTATTTTTGGTCCAAGGAGGCTGCAGGGAGGCCTGCTAGGTCCAAAACAGGGTGCAAGGGCGTTGCTCGTGCATGCACAGGGGTGGGGGGAACATGTGCACATGTGCAGGGTGCAGGGCGGTTGTCACATATGCATTGCATTTTCGGCACGTGGCAACCGAAAGGTTAACCATCCCTGGTCTAATGAGGGAGATTTGTGAATTTCAACTGGAAAGATGCTTACTCTCTCAAACTGTTCTTAAAGTCTTCATATTCCAGCTCTTTGGTTCCTTTCTGCAAAGCTTTCTGTACATCAGAGATTCGGTCTTTTTTCAGCTTCAGCTTCATCAGTGTCCGGTTATAGCCCTTTTACACAAATAATGCAAAAGAAAGTTATCGTCATTGTTTTACACTGTGGCCATCACAATACACAACATTAGCAACTACTGGGACAGGCTGCACAATGGCAGACACACCAGCTGAGGCCTTAATTCACAAGTTCCTTTCTACCCTACACTTTTTCTGAAATTACTTGAATAAGGCACAGTCACAAATATTGGAAGGAAACTGATACTATCAGTTTCACTTTTATATAACTATGTTTGTATAAACTACAGGCAATTCTTTATTTACAACTTTTTGTTTAGTAACCATTCAAAGTTACAATGGCATTGGAATACATATAACAATACTCCTTCTTCATCTAATATATTTAATAGGAACATAAATAAGTGAATATAATAATAAATGTGGTTAGAATTATTTTGTTATATCACTATTATTGCTATCAGTATATGTGTTATCTTTTTTTCTTTTGTTAAATGGTATGCCCGGACAATACACTATATGGCTGTGTGTGTGTGTGTGTGTGTGTGTTTGTGTGTGTGTGTGTGTTTGTGTGTCCATCCGTGTGTGTGTGTCCGTGTGTGTGTGTGTGTTCCAGCATAACTCCAGAATGCCTGGGCCACTGAAATGAAAAGGACTATATCTATAGCATTAAGTCACAGAACCTTTGACAGTGATAGTGTGCATTTTAGATTCAGGAGTCAAGTTCTGTTAAGATACAGCCTGTTGAGCTTTAAAATGGCTTCTATTGAACAGCACAGTGGAGTTCCCATGGTAATGGCTTCACAGTACTCCACAAGGGGGCTCCCTCTAATCCAGGATTGGGATAAATACATACCCGGGCAACACTGGGTTATCAGATAGTATATAAATTTTAAAAACTTGACCGAAAAGTTACAATGGCATTGAAAAAAGTGACTTACAATCAAAGCTATAACATCGCAGCATCCCCATGGTCACATATTCAGAATTTGGCTGGATGGATGCTGGCATGTATTTACTATGGTTGCAACTTCCCATGGATGTAATTGCCATTTATGACCTTGTCAGCTGGCTTCCAATAAGCAAAGTCAGTGGGGGAAGCTGGAGTCGCTTAATGACTGTGTGATTCACATAACGGCAGTGATTCATTTATCAACCATGGCAACGTGGTTGCAAAATCAGGCACAACTCACGTAACAGCTGCTATGCTTAGCCATAGAAATTCTAGTTCCAATTGTGATAGTAAGTTAAGGACAGCCTGTGGTTCACTTCGGTATTGGAATGACTGGTGTCCCTGGCTTTCACTATGGGTCCAGGCAAAACACCAGAGAAGCTTTTATTACAGGTTGGAAACAAGGGGTAGGTTCCGGCCACCATTACTACTGGTTTGGTCGTAAAAAAAAATTGTGCGCACGTGTTTTCTTTGCTCACATGTATACCAGACAGGGTGTCTTATCCCCTCAGTGCCCATTTCTGTTTTAAACGATCTGTGCATGCACACAATATTAAAAAATGAATAAAAATCACATTTTTAAAATGAAGATTGTTCTGCGCATGCGCAGAACAGAAAATCAAGATGGTGCTGCCAATCATAGAACCGGTACAGTCATGTGTCCACCGTAGTTACTACCTATTTGTCCAAACCGGGCCGAATAGGTAAGAACCCATCTCTGGTTGGAAACCCCCTGAGGGTTGCACCATACAGTTGCCATGGAAATGGAAATTCCCAAAGGATTTCTAGAGGTGCCAAAGTGCTCCCTAGCAAGCATTCATTCAAAAACAATCTCATTCATAAAAGATGAAATAAAGGTATAAATGGATGAACTACCTGCTTCAGGATGTCCGATAGCTGCAGTTCATTCTTCTGGTTTGAAAGTTCCTCTTTTACTTCAGAGTAGGTGTCATTTATAATAGCCAGAAACATGTTCTGTATAAAAGAAAAAATACAGTGCAGATTATCTTGAAATTAAGAATCCAGTCTTCTGAGGAAATAAGAAAATATCAAAATGTAAATATACAAGCAGAAAAATGATATGAATTGACATATGTTAAATAACAATTATAAGAATCTATATCTAAGAATGAATTTGAAAGGAAAAATAAACTTTTTACAAGAATCTGCTCTTCTGAATGGTGTGGGGGGGGGTGAGGGGGAATTTGCTCTGCACTTGTGGCTTTTATGTGATTTGAAGAATTGGAACTACCCTTTTCACTTGAAAATAAGACCAATAATAAGCCCAATTGGCTTTTGAGCGCATGTGCTAAAATAAGCCCTCCCCCCAAATAAGCCCTCCCCCAAAATATTGCAACACAGCAGCAGCCCTCATGTGACCCCGCTCGCTGCCTTCTGCACCTCAAAAATAATAAGACCTCCCTGAAAATAAGGCCAAGCGCTTATTTGGGGGAGGGGGTCAAAAGAAAATAAGACCCTGTCTTATTTTGGGGAAAACACAGTAATGCTTCAATATTAGATAGCAATTCCAAAACAAAACTTTTTTTTGGTCTGTTCTATTATTTCACTTTTTGAAAACCAGGGAAAAGATTTTATATGAAAAACTAGGAATTTCTTTTAATTTTTTTGTTAGAATTATATGTTACAGAGGGAGAAATATTTATCAAAGCATCATACAATTGAAGAGGGCATTAAAACATCTGAGTCCTGGGCTTACTGTCTTTGCTAAATACACTACAGGAGAGATCCATATTTCCCCTCAATCAAGGGGTGAAATGCTACCAGTTTGGACCGGTTTGCCTGAACTGGTAGTAAAAATGTTACTGGTTCGGGCAAATCGGTATTTCCAATGATCAACTGTCTCACCCTAAATCTGCTTCTACCATTAGTCCCCCTCGCTCTTCATCCAAAATCTACCCTCCTTTAAGTTCATTAAATCAAAATCAACTTACCAATAGCACAAAGAAGACGAAGAAGACGTAAGTGACAAAATATATGGGCCCCAAGATTCTGTTGGCATTGTCAATAGCATTATAGTCAAAATCACCAAGAATGATGCGAAATTGTGTGAAGCTGCAGAATGGAAAAAGGAAATGAGTTGGCAATATGATTTTTCAGGAAAAGAGCTGAGATGGAAGGATTTAGATAAGCAAAAATATTTCTCCCTCTTCTTTCTGAAATACAGAGCTAAGTAGTTGAGTTAGATCTCCATATAAAGTCTCCTCCTTTAAATTCCTGGGAGTCCATCTCAGCGAAGACCTTACCTGGAAACACAACATGACCCAGGTGGCCAGGAAGGCCCAACAGAGACTCCTTTCTTTCATTTCTTTAGGGTCTTGCCTAAAAACAGGGTGGAAGAACAACTGATGACCAATTGTTGGAATAAATGTCCTTCTGGATTCAGTTCCAAGTGGGGAAAAAGACACTGGAAACAAGAAGGCTGCTTGGAAAGATGGTTTTAATGGTGGACAGGACCACATGGCTTGACTTCCTGAACAGACAGGGAGTCACATGCTTCCAGATATTGGGTGAAGAAGAAAAGAGAAAGAAGGGGCTTACTGAGAGTTCCTGGGTTTTTTATACTCTCTATTCAGCCCAGGGGTGGGTTTCTCGCCCCGTTCCAACCAGTTCGGTTG